TTGATGAGCATTAACTATTACATGTATTAACAAAAGCAACGAACAAAAGAAGAAAAGGCAGAAGAACCTATAAATAAAACAATGAACAAAGAAGTAATAAACTATATAAAAAAAGATGCGATTATTAGGAAGAGACGAATAAGGTCGGTATATATATAGATTCTCATACAGCTAGGGTTCTGTGAATAATAAAATTTATTTCAAAAATAAACAGATTTAATAGAAATTATCGACTTATAAAAAAAAACAAAAAAAAGAAGATTTCCTATTTATCAAGAAATAATTACGGAAATTTTTTTTTGGCCTCCTAAAATCGCTCTCATTGCGACACATAAACAAATTGACTTCTCTTTTATAAATATAGATTACTGTACTGAGAAATAGTATAATGCAAAATACAAATCTTTTGATGATGTATCACTAGAACGATATACTCTTCAACTCTTGTTTCGAGGATGAACAACCCCTAAGGATCAAATGTATCCGCAGTTCTTGTTTGCAAAGTTTTAAGCTACTTGTAGCTTTTAGTATAGTTTTGTCTTGTTTGCAAGAGTTGTGTTGAAAAGCTCGGTTCCTTAGAAGCTTTGAGGCTGCATAAAATCAAATCAATGTAGTTTTGTGCTACCATCATTTGTTTAGGCTCAGCCACGGTACATGATCGCTCACAACATAATAAGCATTGAACAAAAGCTTTATGCAATAGTTTCTCCTGTTAGCAGCGAATCTGATTGGTTGTCCAACCAATGAGTGTGTGTGATAACTTCATCCAATAACTTCAAGAGCTCTGCTCGACGGAGATTTGTCACCATATACTCGAGAGTAACCTGTCCAGTTGGGAACACTTAAGAAACTCAGTCCAGTTTAAACAAGAGCGGAAGAGAAAAGGAACATCCTTTATTGGAGTGTTCTACTTACCTCTTTGAATATACTACTGTAAGAAGACTCCTCGAAACCCTAGAAACAACAAGTGTGTTTGAGCATTTTTCTTCGTATATTCAGGCATGAAGTACATACATTTTGAGGCAACAGAGCGAGTATTGTACCAATTTGCGGAATAAGCTGAGGGAAGCTGTGTTTGAGTCCCCAATCTTGGCTGTAAACTTGTGAATCTCCAAGTTCTTGACAGCATAAGCCATCATCATCAAGACAGATTCTTTTCCTAGTCCTTTACCACGGCTACTCTACACCAAAGGTTGTAACAAAATAAGAGTCATGCGCACAGAAATATCAACTAACTAGGAGTCTACTAGGAATATCCGGCTACAAGAAACCGTTAATATATATGAAAAAGAAAACACATTACATGAAGTTACCTTCGGGGCTCAGCTATCATTATTTCGACCTCTGCAACCTTAGGATCATCCGCATCGTTCATGTAAATGTTTACATCACCCGTCATGGCTGCACAAAAGTTGCGGTTACTTATGTACAATGACTCAAGGTGAAAACAAAATCCATGGAATAAAACCCAACAGAAAATATGTCTAAGGACACCTAAATAGACTAGTTTTAAAGAAAACGAAATCTTAAAGCCAACCAGTCACCAATGATCTAAACCCAGCTAACGAAGGAGCAGATATGTTATCATTTCCAGGCACTAAACACACTTTGTTGTAAGAGCAGTTCCACTGTATTAACTAAAGGGATAGAGAAGAGTGTTTGCATTAGTAGTGAAAACTAAACCATTTTGTCATAGTAGCTATATAGAAGATGGCAAACTGATGCATGCTAAAGTAATCTCCTTTACTCAATCAGTTCCTCAAGTGAAGTAACTCAGGAAACCTACCTTGTACATGAGGTTCACCATGAGCCAATTCTCCCTTAATGAAATCCTTGTCCAACACAATGAAAGTCCGCTCTGAAATCATCAGAAACCAACAACAGAAGAAGCATTAGGAATCCTACATTTGAAAAGAAGATGGACCTCATAAGGTATATAAATAAAGGTCAAGGATCTACTCTACTGAATTATCTCAGTTGGTTATGAGTCCAATCATTGCTAATTGCTTAAGAGATGGAATCTATGAACTTCATAAGAAGCAAATATTATACAACCTGGGAATATCCAAGAACTTGGAGGGTTGGTGAGATGAACAAACTTAAAATAGAAAAATCATAGAGTATAATTAATTGTCTATGATC